TATACTATTATAATAACTATACTATTATAATAACTATAATATAATCACAAATATAATATAAAAATAACTATAATATAATCATAAATATAATATTATAACTATAATATAATCATAAATATAATCATAAATATAATATAATAACTATATATAATCATAAATATACTATTATAACTATAATATTATAATAAATATAATTTTATAATAACTATAATATAATAATAACTAGGGCAGCACGGTGGCACAACTGGTAGAGCTGCTGCCTCTCAGCGAACAGGTCCCTGGTTCAAATCCCGGTCCGGGGGCCTTTCTGGGTGGAGTTTGCATGTTCTCTCCGTGCATGCGTGGGTTTTCTCCGGGTACTCCGGTTTCCTCCCACAGACCAAAAACATGCATGTTAGGCTGATTGGTAACTCTAAATTGTCCCTAGGTGTGAGCGAGAGAGTGAATGGTTGTTTGTCTCGTTTGTCTCTATGTGTCCCTGTGATGGACTGGAGACCTGTCCAGGGTGTACCCCGCCCCTCGCACAGTGATTGCTGGACATGAGCATCAGCGACCCCCGTGACCCAAAATGGAATAAACGAGTAAAGATAATGGATGGATGGATAATAATAACTATAATATTATAATAACTATAATAATCTGCTGACTCTTGTTAATAAACAAGAAATCCTATATCTTCCTTTCTTTGAAATATGTTTTAGATCATGTCAAACTGATTTTCTTACAAAAGCATCCATCCATCCATTTTCTTTACCCGCTTATTCCATTTTGGGTCACGGGGGTCGCTGGTGCCCATGTCCAGCAATCAGTGTGCGAGGGGCGGGGTACACCCTGGACGGGTCGCAAGTCCATCACAGGGACACATAGAGACAAACGAGACAAACAACCATTCACTCTCTCTCTCACCTAGGGACAATTTAGAGTTACCAATCAGCCTAACATGCATGTTTTTGGTCTGTGAGAGGAAACCGGAGTACCCGGAGAAAACCCACGCATGCACGGAGAGAACATGCAAACTCCACCCAGAAAGGCCCCCCGGACCAGGATTTGAACCAGGGACCTGCTCACTGAGAGGCAGCAGCTCTACCAGTTGCACCACCGTGCTGCCCCTCTTACAAAAGCAGTAAAAGTTTAATATAAAATAAATGTTTGTTTGTTTGTTTGTTTTTGGTTCGGGCTGGTAATCACAGTTAATTGGTCGGTTTCAGGTTGGGCTTGGAAAAAATGATACAGGTTCGGGCCGGGTTGGATTTTTTTATGCACGACTGCGACTCTAGTGTGGTCAAAAAAAAATGAGAACTGAAAAATGAGCTCACATGTTCTCTACTTCCTCGTCCTGACCACAAACTAAAAGACAAAAACTTTTCAGCGGAAGTGTGCTGGTTTGTTTTCTTTCGACAAAATAATCACACATGCAGAGGAATTCTTGTAATGGGGACCGTGTAGGTGTAGAGCTCCGAGCCAAAGGCTGAGAGGATGCATGCTCAAAGGCTCAGAGGCACAAAGACTCTGTACTTTTTCATCCCTCAGTGACTGATGCGAATTGGACTGGATGGCAGTGACATGATCAGATCATGACATGATCAGATCAAATTGTTTAAAATATTACAGACCTACAAAGTTGTTTTTTTCTCTATTCGTGCTGTGTCTTTACAATGAGAAGGTTGCACTGCTCGTGCTTGGACTGTGCGTCTGATCCATGATGAGAGATAAAGCTAGAACAACAGAAGAGTTTCAGAAACTGCACAATGTAGAGGCCTTTGGGGTTTTGTGAAGGATCAGGTTGGTCTGGTTGAGTCAACCTCCAGGCCTCGAGGGCCGGAGTCCTGCAACTTTTAGATGTGTCTCTGATGCCACACGGCTGAATCAAATAAGGAGGTCATTAGCAGGACTTTGGAGAACTTGACTGCACTGAGAAGCTAATTCAGTCATATGATTCAGCTGTGTGGCATCAGAGACACATCTAAAAGTTGCAGGACTCCGGCCCTCGAGGCCTGGAGGTTGACACCGGTGCACGATGTGAAGGTGATATTTATAAGACTGAGTTTGTTGCAGCTCCTCAGACTGAAGAAGTCTTCTGGATAAAAGATGAAACGTTTTAACAAGAAGAATCCGTCCAGAGGACCTGACTCAGCTTGGTTAGAGGAATGAGATGTTTTGCTACAACTGTGTGATGAAGACCAAAACTCCAACTCTCACCTGTCCAGCTCTGCCAAGCTCCAGCTCCATGAGGGCTACTGGGCTGCTGTGATCGGTGTTCCCGTGGCTGTCAGCGGCCTGGAGGTCCACCCTCCAGGAGAGGCCCCTGAAAGCGGGCTCCCAGCGGCTCTGAGCCAACAAGCTGTCCCTCACTCGGACTCGCTGGCTCTTCCAGAAACGGGAGAGGGCGGCGGCCTGCTCGGCGCTGACCCCACTGCCACCGTGCTTCTTGGTCTGAGCCGTGAGGAAGGCCTCCAGCTGGCCGTGGTCCATGTCTGCTGTGGCCATGGACTAAGAGGAGAGCAAGAGGAGCATCAAGCACAATACCCTTTTAAATAAGTGTCTAGAGTCATTAGGAATAATAAAAAATAATCATGTTCTAATAAGTGGAATTACTTTAATTAGAAACATCTGTTACAGACGTGAAAATGAGTCTGTTGCGTTTTACCAGTGACATATACTCGTGCTGCTGTTGTTCGGCGTATTGTTTTTGTTCTATTAGCGCTTAGCATATTCTTACTTCATATCTTACATCTTATTACTGGTTTTCTTTTACATTTTATAATTTTGTTGGATGTAACTGGGACCCTGTGTACACAATTTCGTTCCACCACATGCACCACATGTGGCGCAATAAAGAAACCTTGATAAGTGCAGATTATACATAAACTTGAGTAAATGTATATTAGCCACTATGTCTCTGCAAGGACACAAAAGTAAAGAGAACTACAATAACTCTATATACAATATAAACTACAGAGTATTAGAAAGAATAATCATCATCCAGTACAGGTAATTAGGACAACAGGTCCTGCCGTGTTCTGTGTATTTACAGACCAAGTCCTGGCAGTAGAAGGGGGTGGTGAACATTTATTTTATTATTATTATTTTTCATTTATTTGACCCAGGTTCTGCGAGGTGCCTTCAAATGTTTCTCCATCTCTTTACGTCTGCTGCACTTCATACACCCAGTCCCACTCATTTTGCTGTTGATTTACACAAACCATTCTTTTAAAGATCCATAACTACAGTTTCACATATGCACACACATTTATCTGTATCGAATGTTTGATTCAAAAACTTCTTTGAATCTTATAAAAATAGTTCAGAGCTCCTGGGCTGAGACGTGAACCAGGTGTTTGTTGGTGCTGCCCCCTGCTGACAAAAACAAATAAAAACCAAAGAAACCATTTTTAACATTTTAGTCCATTTGGGTTTTCGTGAATTTAACGCACCTTAAAATAAAACCCGAAAGCGTTTTGACCCAAGTTAACAATGGCAAGTATTTTACAAAAAACTCACTTTAACCTCAGAAACTGCTGTTTAGTGTGAGACTAGGATAAATATAAAAACTGTCATGCAGCACGCTATACTTTTATTTCACTTTGAATACGCAGGTCTTGTGCTTCCAGAGATGTTTGTTCTGGCTGTAGGTGAACTTCCATGAGAACGAAGCCATGTTTTACCTTCAGCAGCGCTTTCATTTTATCGTGTAAAGCCTTGAACTCCTCCTGCGTCACTTCCGGGTACAGCTGCTCTTTCAGCAGCTCCTCTGTGATTTCCCTGTTGTTGTAATAAACCATTTGAGATATTCCGTTCAACAGACCGCTCAAAGACTTCGTCGCTTCCATGTTCGCCATGTTTTCGTGTGGCCGGTCACGTGAGACGAGTGCAACTGTCACATGAACAGCCACGCCGCAATGCATTGTGGGAGTTGAAGTCCAACGACACCACGGTTTACAGCAAATAAACTACATTAAAATACAGCAACATAAGCGTACAGGCTTTAATTGTAGCTGACATAAAAGTTTAATCAACACAAATATGTCACATCAATTTATACCACTAGCTGTAAAGAAAATCGTCACCTTTGAATATATAATATTTTAAATTCATTGAATCAGCTGTTGGTCAGGCTACTTCTTGTTGAGCCATTAGCTCCAAAATAGTTACTGAATCAAGTGTTTACTTCCATCCATCCGCGGGGGTAGCAGCCTAAGTGGGGAGGCCCAGACTTCCCTCTCCTCAGCCACTTGGACCAGCTCCTCCAGGGGAATCCAAGGTGTTCCAAGTGTTTACTTATGTAGGTAAAACTAGATGTTAAACAACCATTAAAATACACCAGAATGCAGGAAATGGCATCTACTTTATTCAAAATTTTCTGGGGGAGAACCCCCAGACCCCCCATCAGTGTGGCCCCCCCACACACACACATTATAAATGCTTCTGACACCAGTGGACAACACGTTACTAAACAAGTACACATATGGTGTCATGTGATGTTCAACTTTAAGTGCGTTCAACTTAATTCAGTCTTGATGATTTGTGTAAATGAGCATTTGGAGTTTATACATAAAAATACACTTGATAGTTAGAATTTTAAGTATATTTACTGTATATTTTGGTAATTTATTCTGTATTTTGCCAGATTATGGAGATTCTGGGGTCATGATGATGGGGCCCTTGAAGATTGTTGCCCAGGGTACAGCGAAGTGTTAATCTGGCCCTGATGTCCAGCCATCACTGTGCGAGAGGCAGGGGACACCCTGGACAGGTCTCCAGTCCATCACAGGGACACATAGAGACAAACGAGACAAGCAACCATTCACTCTTTCACTCACACCTAGGGACAGTTTAGAGTTACCAATCAGCCTAACATGCATGTTTTTGATTTGTGGGAGGAAACTGAAGTACAGGTAAAAAAAAAAAAACATGCATGCACAGAGAGAACATGTAAACTCCATCTAGAAAGGCCCTCCGGCCAGGATTTCAACCAGCAACCTTCTCGCTGAGAGGCAACAGCTCTACCAACTGAACCACAATGCATAAATTTAATTTATGTAATGATAGTAATTGCCAGATGTCCAGCTGTTGTCATAGACTGCATGTCTATCCTGCTTGCTCTCGCCAAAGCTGGACGATTTTCCCTCCCGCTCCTGCTTCCCTCCTGCTTTGTTCTTTTTCCTGTGAACCCTATCGGAGACTCTCTTTACATATCTTCCAAATTGTAAATTATGGATCTGGTCAGCTGGTCTCTCAACACAAATGATAAAATTTCGGCCTGTCAGTGTTGACCACAAAATTTGGCTGTTTGGAGTCGCCATTGAGACGTACTGTACCAGCAGAACTATGAAGGCAGACAGAAAATCAAGCAGCGTCGGCCTGACCCAAAATAATTGTTGCTATCTGAACTTGGCTTACCCACTTGGCCTTGAATTGGACACTATCTCAAACTCTCCTGCATGTTATCCATGATCCCCCAAACCCTGATGGACAAACTATCCACACTAGGACTAAGCCCCTCGATTTGCAACTGGGTACTAGACTTCTTAACAAACAGACCACAGTCAGTGAGGATCCACAACTTTTCCTCCTCCACCATAACCCTCAGCACTGGCTCTCCTCAGGGATGTGTGTTGAGCCCCCTCCTGTTTACTCTGCTCACGTATGATTGTGCAGCTACCCATCCAGGCTGCACATTGTTAAGTTTGCAGATGATACAGCGGTGGTGGGATGCATCACAAACAATGATGAGTTCAGCTACAGGCAGCAGGTGGAACACCTGGAGAGCTGGTGCAAAGAGGATAACATTCACATCAATGTGAAGAAGACAAAGGAGATGATTGTGGACTCCAGAAGGAACAAAAACATCTACACCCCCCTGAACATAAGAGGATCTGCGGTGGAAGTGGTCTCCAGCTACAAGTACTTGGGTGTACACATGAATGACAACCTCAGGTGGAGCAACAACACCACCAGCCTGATCAAGAAAGCTCATCAGAGACTCTACTTCCTCAGACAGCTGAGACGAACTGGTCTGGGAAGCTCAGTCCTCACCTCCTTCTACAGGTGTGCAGTGGAGAGCATCCTGTGCTCCAGCATCAACGTGTGGCATGGAGGCTGCACAGAAGACTGTCGGAGTCAGTCTCCCCACCATCACAGATATCTACACCTCCAGATGCAGGAAGAGGGCTACCTGCATCATGAAGGACCTCACTCACCCAGCACACACACTTTTTGCCCCACTCCCCTCAGAAAGGAGGTTGAAGAGCATTAAGTGTAGAACCACTAGACTGAGGAACAGCTTCTACCCTGAGGCTGTTAAGACTCATGAACCTCTAACCAGAATAATCACTGTGAAAAACCATATCATGTTGCTGCTGATCTGTTTCATGTTGCTGCTGATCCGTTTCAATGTTGATGTGTTCATGCATGCACATCCGCTCACACAGACTCATGTTCATGTTTGTGCTGATGTTCAATGTTTTATGTTATGAGTGCTTAGTGTATATTTAGTTGATGTTTTTCTTAGTTCATATCTTAGATGTTATTACTGTTTTTCTTGTACATTTAATTGTTGGATGTAACTGGGACCCTGTGTACATAATTTCGCTCCACTACATGTACCACATGAGGTGCGAATGACAATAAAGAATCTCTGACTCTGAAGTTATGTGAACAAGAAGCTCTGCTTCCCCCTCCCCTACCTGCTCCCTTCCCAAGGACATTTGTGGGCCTGTGTCAAAGCTGAGCCGGCTGATAGACACTGCACCAGCTCTTATCAGGACTATGGAACTATCCAGCAGTGTCCACGGACAACTCAACGCCTTTGTCGGCCTCCTCGTGCATAAATGTATTATGATGTCATCAGTATGTTGCTGTTTTTGTGCTGAGGTCTTTTTTTTGCAACTTTCACACTGTGTCCCGTCTAGGACACAGTGTGAGATATGATTTTGTTATATGTCCCCTCTCCTCGTGTTTCTCTTTTCCTTATCTAAATGAAAAGGGTAGTGCCTCCCAAAGCTGTGGCCTCAGGCACCTCCGGCTCCCCATGTCTGTTTGTGTTTTCTCGGATGGGCTGTACTGAAATGTAATTTTGTTGTGCTTCAGTACAATGAACAATAAAGCTGATTCTGATGTATCTAGACCTCCAACTAGAACCTGGAAGTTTGTTAGAATGAAACCAGCTTCCCTGTGAACTGGTTTCCATGCTAGTTTTAAGTCCTGACACCTATTTGTATTCAATCTTTATTTATACAGGTTAGTTCCCATTGAGCCTTGAGGACACATTTACAAGAGAGACCAGTTAACGAGAACATTACCTTTTTAAAAATAAAATTTAAAACAAGCACCTCAATTAATTTTTTTCAGGTGTTGAATCGAAAAGTGGAGCATCTTGTTTGAGCAGATGTTTAAGTTCTGCAGCTTCCATGTTAAGATCAGTTCAACCTTTATTTATCCAGGTTAATCCCACTTAGCCTCGGGGACTCATTTACAAGAGAGAACTGATTTCTTAACAAAGAGTGATGACAACAGTGGACAATAGACAATCGTAAAAGAAAGCTTACAAATTAAGAAAAACAAATGAAAGAAAATGGCATTAAAAATGAAACAAAAACAGCTAGATTATAAAACCGTGTAGAAAACTAAAAACAGGAACATGTCTGCATTGGTCTTTGCCAAGGACTTAATAGATGTTTAAAGCCACTTAGCAATGTCAAGGTCGAGAGCTCCAGATCTTTTTGCAACATGTTCCAGGAAACAGGAGCGGAGTAGGAAAAGGCCCTTTTGCCTAGTTCAGTCCTCACTGAGGGAACACTGCAGGTAATAATGTCCTGAGAGCGCACGCTGTAGCTGCACTCACACAGAGACATGTAGGAGGAGATGTATGAAGGCAGCAGACCAAGAAGTGATTTAAAGATGAAAAATGTACCGGTGGGAGAGTCTGCGTGTGTCAGGAACGGTGTGTTTATGGTCTGAACCCAGTGTGCAGACAGAACTCGGAGGCGCGAGGAGTAAAATAAACTCTTTAATGAGCACAAAACAAAAATGCTGACGAGGCAGCGTTACTTACAAAACGTAGGAAATTTCGTGAGGACCAGACGAAGACACAGGAATCACAGACGATGACCCAACAAAGAGTAACACAAAAACGCAAACTTATATGCACAGCGTAATCAGACACAATCACAAACACCTGGACAGGACACGTGGACAAATGATCAGGACAGAGAAACTAGAAGGTGTAGGGATGGGAACCCAACACAAGAGGGTGCCACCCTACAGCGTGACGTTAATGACGTCCAGTTAACCAGTGACTACAGGGTGCAATGGTGGATATGATAATCACAGCCAGTTATGAATCTTAGTGCACCATGATAGACAGCATCCAACATCTGCAGGGTTCTTGTAGGAGCGTTCATGTAAATAATGTCACCGTAATCAATGGAGGGAAGGAAAGTCACAGATACAAGGCGTTTTCTAGCATTCAGGGTTAGACAGGATTTGTTTCTGAAAAAGAAACCCAGTTTAACTTTCAGTTTCTTTACCACGTTTTCCATGTGGAGCTTAATGCGAATCGACCAAGATACCCAAAATATTTGTAGGAATTGACAAACTCAATAGGGACACCATTAGAGAATAAAATTGAAGGAAGAACAGCTGGGACTGACTTCCTGTTTGAAATCAGCATCCCTTTGATTTTGTCTGTGTTTAGGACAAGTTTGATATGGAATAAATCTGACTGGATGATGTCAAAAGCAGATTGCAAAAGCTGAAAAACTTTAGCAATTGTTTTAGCGCAACAATAAACAACTGTATCATCAGCATAATTCAATTTTCAATTCAGTTTATGTATATAGTGCCAAAAATCAC